AATTAGAAAAGCATTCCCACTAATCCGCCAAGTCACGAAGGGGTAAATCTCGCTAAGCCAGACTTCGCCACAACGATGAATATGTGATAGAGAGAGGTGGAGTTGTCTCTATGGAAGAGGGACGTTAGCCACATCCATGGCCTCTGATATGACAATATGTGATACCACTGGCAAACGTTGGCCTTTCTTATCGTACCTGCACCGTCAAAAGGTGGTCTGGTTGTGGTTGCCCATTGGGCACCGCACCACCATGCACGGGCGACCACCAAGGGACTGTCGGCTGCTACTTGATGGATTTTTATCGCTAGAAGGTAGCCATCCCATTCAATCATAGAATTGCAACTGTTACCGGTCTCACATTAATTGTATTGAGTTGTGCTGACTCTTTGTTCGTTGCCGAGAGCTATGTAGATGTGGCTCATTGTATGTTGATGGGAGCCATATATGCATAACAAAGTCGGCTCTTTATCCATTGTTGGGAGCCCCAAGATGTAGCAATGAACATCGCACTACTGCAAGGACATGACCGTAAAAAATGTCCAATGTTTAGCCATGTCTAGTCATGTATATAAAAAGATGCTAACATAGGTTGTATTTTGCAATGTTTCCAATGAAGTAAATAAGTGTCATTTTTGGCAATGTTGATTTTGTTGCAATAATCAGCAGAAAATAAGAATAGCATGTCTGATATGGAAAACAAGTCATGTGGGTCGTTGCTAATGTAGAGCCACACATGTCATCAACTTTACGACCGTGTTAATTCATCCCTTAACAATATTATTTTTCTTTTTCTTCATTTTTCAGTAGATGCAGAAGAACATGTACCTGGGACTTCCAACTTTCTGCCTTACATACTAGACTTCCATTTTCCTCTAACAAAATCCTCCACCTTCAACCTCTTACCTTACACGCTGGAATCACTCGAAAATCACCATTTTCTCCATCTTTTCTACACTTCTAGCACTGAAGAATAACTTCGAGACTTGCAGCACATCATGGCTGGGAGGCAACATATTGTAGTTTCAGTTTTTGGGTAATTTTTCTTGAGCATCAAATGATCAAGTTGCATGGTTAGCATTAACAATGGGATCAAGCACTCCACTCACAAGCCCTCAAGCGATTATCCCTCCTCCCATCACCACTTTCGAGTCTATCCCTCTTGTCTTTAAAAAGAGCTATGAGAGAGGGATTGTTGTATTTTCATCTTCAATATAAGGGTTGCTCTTTATAGAGTGAGGATATTTACTCGAGATGATAGGGGCCGCATTTTTTGTCACTATTATTATGTCACAATATTTTATGTATAAGTGTGATTCTCAAGTTGCGATCTTTGATCCTCATGTGTTTTCCATCTTTGCTACTCTTACAACAATGTACATCTTCTTCCCGTCATCTTTGATAGTTGTGTAATCATCCTTAGTCCTTGAAACCCCATCGTTGCTCTCTTAGCTTGGCTAGAACATTTATATATTCAAACTTTGCTGGAAGGTTCGTTGTTGGATATCATCGCTGAACATCATCACTAGACAGAACAAGATGGCCCAAAACACATAGTCTTTTGCATGTGAAGTGGGTGCCACCAAAGGACCCTCCACACTTTTTTTACAGGTGATATCCTAGTCAACCTCCACATCACCACTGTTGCTCACTCATTATCCTTCATTACCAACACACCCCAACAACTCTATACCCACGTTTTCCAAAAGGATAACCAACAAAAATGCATTTTGAGGCCCTTGTGTCAAATGTTGAACGACTTGGTGATATCCTAATCAACCTCCACATCACCATTGTTGCTCACTCATCATCCTTCATTACCAACACACCCCAACAACTCTATACCCATGTTTTACAAAAGGATAACCAACAAAAATGCATTTTGATGTCCTTGTGTCAAATGTTGAATGACTTGGTGAGGTGAGTGAAAATTTATTTTTTTTCATTCATCTCTATACCCAAAGTTCCCCTCTTTTGGTGAGCTAACTCCACACAATTTTTTTTCATTACCAACACACCCCAACAACTATATACCCACGTTTCCTTCTCCTCCAAGTCCTCTCTCAAACCCCTTTCTTACCTCCAAAATCTTAACAAAACACAAAGTTCTAGTGCTGGCAGGGGCATGACAAGTATACTCAAAGTGTGGAATTAAAAGGATAGTATAATACAAGTTGTCTTTTTAAATTTCTTTTTAAAGAATTTATTTACAAAATTATATTTTAATTAATA